GCATGGAGATTATCAAGGCTGGAGTCAAATGTGGCTTTCATTGCCTGTGCAAGGACCCTACAGCCTCCTAGATTGTATTACATCTTTGTTTGCTAATTCACCAATTTGCAAAATGCCATAATTGACACTCATTAGTGTAAATTAGCAAAGGGCTTCTGCAGAATCCACCCTCACCTTTAAGTCTAGAATTGCAAACCCTGGGGGGATGGGAAGGAGCTGGGATTTGTGAGGGGTTTTTTCCTGCAGATTTTATCCCAGCCCTACTTAATAACCTAAATTATTTGAATTTGTGGATTCTTTCATTAGGGATTAGATGTACGTCTGAGAATATTTAGTCCAGAATTTTTTTCTTTTTTCTTTTTTAAGTGCTCCTGTTTACAGAGCTCTCAGAGGCCTCCTGGTGGTTCTGAAGTTCTGCACTTTTGGGCAAGAGAACTGGGGAAACTGCAAGAAACCATGCAAGTGAGAGACTTCTTTTTTTTCCTAAAGGCTGCATTCAGTTGAGAGATGGCATGACCTGGGTACAGCAGCCTATTGAGCCACCAAGTCTGGGAGTGAAAAGCAGACCACCCCTCCTCCCCAAAACAAAATGCGACACCATTAAAAACAGAGGAAGAAAGCCTGACTCCGGGCACTCAGTTGACTCTGGTTGCTGGACACCATCAGGGCAACCTTCACATGACCCCTCATCTAACTTCAGAAAATTTACATTAGGGCCTGACTTTAACAACTGCACCCAGCCCCTAAATGAGATGTCTGTATTGCTCTGTAACCAGATCACCTGGGAAAGCAGCCTCAGGGCTGGGGGCTGGACAGCCTGGGTAAAGGAGGAGACAGTCTCCCCTCTGAGTGTCCGCCTCCAGGTTTCTCTAGAATTCATGGGTCCTCCTGAGCTGAGCAGAAACTCGGCAGGTGGTGAGGCAGGATAGGCCTCAAACCCAGAGCAATAGGGAGCTGGAAGGTACATGATATGAGTACTATAGTGAGTGGAGGCTGCTGCTCTCAGTGTCCAAGAAGCTGTTCTGGTTCCACTAACCACACAGTAAAGAACAGGCCATAAATGAGAGCCTACTCTGGACTCAAAACACAGGCTTTCTCTTTTTCTCCTCTTTCCCCTTTCATCCCCTGGTATTATCCATTCCTTCAAAGGCAACTCTTATTCCTGCTCCCAGGACCCAGTTGCCTTCCTATCAAGTGTGGAATTTCAAAAGGTTTTCTAAAGTGACAGAGCCACGAATGCCTTTACGAGAGAACTTAGCACTGTGTCCACCTGCTGTCCTTTCTTACAGCTTTTTTGTCAATATTATTAACTTTTCCAACTGTTTTGGATGTGACTCCATATACAGAAAAGATTCCTGGTTAGCCCAGGTGTTACTGGGGGTTGGGACCTGGTGACCTTAGCTTTGTTTCAGAGCATTTACTAGAGAACCTTCCACTCTATGAAGAGACAGAAGCCCCAGCCACCCTCTCCACTCAGGCCTGGGAATGGGGCCTACCCTGAGTTTAACCCCTGGAGGCCCAGGCACTCAGGTGCCCAGCTATTTGGCTGAGGTTGGCCAGTGGAGTGAGGGCAGGAAGCTCTGAGCTTCAACAAGGGTGTCTCTGAAGTGCAGCTTTGGGACTCAGCATGGGTACACTGGCTCCAGGAGTTCAAAAAGTACATTCTGGCTTTGGCATGCAAGGAAAACCAGAGCAGCCTAGAGCCCGAGACTCTGCCCTGACCACTTGGCTGCCAAGAGAGCAAGCGACCAACCCTTCTCAGGGTCAGGAGCAGTGTGTAGATGTGCTACTCCAGGTAGCTGTGCCCAGGACTAAATGACCTGGATTCCCACATTCCAGGTCTTTCTGCAGCTCCCCAGGGGAGAAGGCAGCTAGAGGCTACATCATTTTCCCAGAGAGGTGCACAATGACACTTCCACTCTCGCTAGACTTCTCAATTATTAACACCAAAATCTGAGTGCCTCCATGACCTGTGGAGACACAGCTTAGCATACTTTTTCAGCTAGGAGAAAAATTCTAAATTGCCTTTGATCTGGTTCCTCTGCAGCTCTGACTGGCAACTTGCTACACTTTTAAAGAACACTTTCCGGAGATCAGCCAAGAACCCCTGTTAGCCCAGGGTCCCCTGTTTGGCCCAGTCCCATGCATGCTCACCTTACACACACTGGCCTCCCACCATGGCCACCACCTGCCAGGATGTAGCAAGGATCCTCCCAGAACCCAGCCTAGTGCTCCAGGAGCTCTGGCCTTGCAAAGACCTGTGCTGCACCAAGAGCACTCCGTGTCCTTCAGCCTTTCCCAAAGTTTGTTGGAAACTTCACAGCCAAGAACAGAATAGGCAGCATGGCCTGACTAACATGATTTTGTTTTGTGTGTTCAGAGGCAACAGTTTATTTTGGTTTGCAGCAGCAGCAGCAGCAGCAGCGGTATCCTGTGACAGGACAGGGAGATAGATTCTCTTAAGCTTCAAAA